AAGCCGTAAAAAAGCAAGTAAATTATTATTTAGGAAAAAGAAGTTTTGTTACTTTTTTGTAACTTTAATTTAATATTAGTAATATGTATTTCTCCTCATTTACTTAGATAAGAAAAAATCATAAAAGATTTCTTAAAAGTTTTCTTTTTAACTACGTGTACTTATAAAATAAGTTGTTGCCATAGGATATGCATATAACTTAAAAATTACCTGTAAAAAGTAACTGCTACTAATATTACAACGTGTAAAGTTTTATTTATACTCTGACCAAATTAAAGGAGTTTCTACTTTTTTATATTGCTGCTTAAATATTCTACAACTTTAAGATGTTTTCAAGAGTAAAAAAACTTAACAACCAACAATTTCCTGTTTAAAACTTTCAAGATGGAGAGAACATTTTGGTACGTGTCTAATTGTTTATTTAACAAGAAAACAGGTGGCAACGCAACTTTTAAAAAAATAACACTACAACAACAAGAACAATAACTACATTTACATGTTAAATACTCGAGGGTACTATTACAATTTAATGGCATTCAAAAACTGATGTTAAATACTGCCTAAAGGACAAACTCCTCCTTAGTCATTTATTCATTTACTCCAACTGCCACTTATAATTAGATGCCACAACTTTATATGTATTCATTTTCCTACAAAAACAAAAACAACCATCAAACTTTATATATTTGAATTTTCAAATAGTAGGAAAAACTCAAAATTTTTGGTCTACAAGACAACAAAAATTAAATAATTGTCAACTAAATGTTAAAGTTGGAGTATAGTTGTTTGCTGTTATAAAACGCGCAAAACTCTTTGCAGAATGTATAAATGTTGGAATGAATGGACGAATGGATGGAGAGAGTTTGTTACATAGTCATAGATACATTTACTGGCAGATAAACGAGCAAAACTTAAATCGTAAATTTGAAATTTGTTGTTACAACAACAAAAGCATTAAAAAATACTCGCACCAACAACAACCATTACGATCAAGTGTCATTTTAACATTTGTTAAACTCCCATAAGTTGTGCAAGTCGATGAAGAAGTTGTTATGGAAATGGTCTTGGTGGTATAGGAGGTTAGGAGGAAAATTTGTTTAAAAATAGTAATAAAAATATTCGGAATTTTGAGTTAAATTTTGCAAAAAAGCTTTCAGTTAAAAGTTTTTCATGTAAAAAGCTTTATTTAAAAAGCTTTTAGTATAAAGCATTTTGTGTAGAAAATGTTTAAAGTAGAATAAGCTTTTTGTGCTTTTTTCATAGCTTTGATAGAAAAAGCTTCTTAAGAAGAAAAGGTTTTAGTAAAAGCCTTCAGTTAAAAGTATTCTATGTAAAAGCTTTGTTTAAAACTCTTTTTCTGAAAAATTTTTAGTATAAAGCATTTTGTGTTTAAAGTAGTATAAGCTTTTTATGCTTTCTTCATAGCTTTTAGTAGAAAAAGCTTTTCATTAAGAAAGCTTTAATAAAAAGTTCTTTGTATAGGGAAAAAGCTTTTAAAAATGCCTTTTCGGACATGATATGAAAATGAAAAATGAGTCTTTATGAAAAAAAGTTTTTTGTTCAAAAAAATTTTTTAATAAAGAAGCTTTTTTCAGTAAAAACATTTTAATTTAAAAAGCATTTAGCTTCGCTTTGAAATACATAACGTTTCTTTGAAAAAGGCTATTAAAAATTAAAAGCTTCTCGTGAAGAAAGCTTTTATAAAAAGATATTTGTATTAAAAATTACAAAAGCCTATTTTCAGTTTCGCTTTGAAAAGCTCTTAAAATTCTTTTTCGGGCATTATACGGAAATGAAAGGCTTTTAATCGAAAAAGCTTTTTTTAATAAACAACATCTTTCTATTAAAAATATTACTAAAAAGCTTTTTTGCCGCACAATTTTTTTAAATAAAGAAGGTATTTTAATTATTACCTTTTTTTTAAAAACACTTTCAGTTTCGCTTTGAATTAAAAAAGATTTTAGGGGAAAAGCTCTTAAAATGCTTTTTGGACATGATATGGAAATGAAAAGCTTTTTTAAAGAAAGATTTTAGTAAAAAGCTTCTTATTTTTCTAAAAAAGTTTTTTGCGAAAAAAAAAATAACGAAAACGCTTTTTTGTGGAAAAGTTGTATAAAGAAAAACTTTTGCAACTATTTTAGAGAAACTTCAACGAAATCTCTCGTATAGCAAAAGACAAGACAACCTTGCTCTATGTCTATCTTCCATTTCCCCGTACAAGATGCCACTTAAAAATGTTTATGAGTGTTAAAAAAGGCACTGCGCTTCATTAAGCTTAAGAAACACCCAAAAAAAAACAAAAAAGAGTGTCTATAAATTTATAAATCCATCAAGCATTTTTATTACCAGCAATTGCTTGCATTATACTACGACTACTGCTACTTACAACTTCTAGCAAAATATTACAACTATAAAAACGCAAATCGTTAAATTTTTAAAAAGTACTTGTCCTTCAGTCAGCCTCTCATATACCTACAATAATCTGAAACACTTCAACATAAACAGTTTTTTGTGGAGTCTCGTCTGGCATATAGACGAGAATGACGACTTTGGGCTTCTAAAAGCTGTCATAGTTATTAATTAAAATTTTTTACTTTTCCCCATTTTTTATTTGTTATACATATCTCCAAATAGAATAAACACTCATCATCTTCATCAACTCCAGCTACAAATAACAGCATCATCGTTTGATGAAATTTATCTTCTTTTTTTTCTCGTTCCTCATCCATTCTACAGGAGCTAAAATTTTCAAGTGTGAAATTGTTGTTGACAACATGATTTACAAATGAAGTAAACGCTTCATCATCTCTCATCTCCATATCATGTCAATAATTATTTTCAATATTTTCCTGCTTTTTTTTATTTTTTCCTTTGATATACAACATTCTATAATCTAATCGAAATTCCAAAAGGGGGAGCAAATTTTAAAGGCTCTGAAAATTATGATTTGATTTTCTATTTAATGTTTTATTTGGTAAATGTACCTTAACAATTTTAAAGCGTGTGAGTGTGTTTTTGAATGCATGAAAAATTCAATTTATAATGGTGAAGTTTATTGATTCTATTTTTGGAATATTGAAGGGTTTGTAAAAATTTAATGTTTCCCATAAAGTTTTTCAATCTTAATAAAAATCAATATTTTTTATATCGTGGAAAATATTAAAAAGGATTTTGGCATAAACTTATTGAAAATTTAATATTAATAGCGACTAGACAAAATATTTTACAAAAACTTCTATATAAAATAGTACCTTACATAACTAGCTTTATAAATAAAGATTAAAGAAACTCCTTCCTTTTAGCTTTTACTGCTACAAATAAAAATCAACACCTTACCTCTTTTAGTGCTGTGTAAAATATTGTCTGCAACAAATCTTTATATTCCGGCTGCAATTACTAAACTATTTACAAAAACATAAACCGAAATTTAATCTACACTTAACATCGCTACATTTTTTTTTACTTTTTAAACTTAACATCTTCCTTAAAAACTCTATTGTCTATCTTTCTGTCCGTCCGCCTTTGTATAATACTATATTCATTCATCAATTTTTATTTACAACGCTTTTTTACTTCATTGTCTTATCAGCCATTCATCTATTCAACGTTGGAAAACAAAAGAATTTTTGTTAAATCGCTGCTATCCTGTTGAGGTACTAATCTCTTCTATGCACCGCTAACCAGGCATTCAGTTCCAAAACAATGGTGTATCAAAATAAAAAACAAAACGATTCACCCTAAACAACTTTTAGCTAAAGAACGTTTTGGCGTAAAAAAGCTTTCATCATGGCTAACAACTTTACTTAGAGTACCGTGCACTCAATTAACGGGGCTGTACGATTTAACTTTCCCTCCATAAGTTTTGTGTTAACGCCCAAACATTTTCCTTGTATTGGTCTTTAGGTTGCCAATTTACTTTCACTGGTGAAACACATCAACACACTATTTGGTAATTGTTACAAAAATCTAATTAAATTGTCTCACACCATGGAGATGATACATACATAGATCCATACTAACTACTCCACCCATTAGATACGGTGTTGCATTGTTTAGAAGTTTTTAACTTGGTGTAGAGCAGTTCTGAACGAGAGTTAATTGAAAAGGATACGAAATATTGGAATATGTAGATTTAGTTTTGGGTCTATTTTCAGACAACACTGTTACTTTGTACCAGTACTTTTTTTGAATGCTTTTTGGGTAAAAGCTTTCATAAAAATAAATTTTTTAAGTAAATAGCATTTGTTCTTAAAAAGCTTTTAGTATAATAGAGCTTGCAAAAGCTTTTTGTGAAAAAAGTAATAAACATTTTTGGGAAAAAGCCTTTTCGGGATAAAGCTTTAAGTAAAATACAATTTTCGTGAAAAAACTTTTATTAAAAATAGTCATAATTATTACAATATTTGTTAAAGGGCTTGCAATAAACTTTTTGTAAAAAAATTAAAAAGCTTTTTCGAGTAAAATGCTTTTAGCATTTTTCCAAAATGCTTTTATAAGAACTTTTGTTTGCAATAAACTTTTTGTAAAAAAATTAAAAAGCTTTTTTGAGTAAAATGCTTTTAGCATTTTTCCAAAATGCTTTTATAAGAACTTTTGTTTAAATTTTTTTTGGTAAAATAAACTTTTAGTAAAAAGCTTTTCTGATACTATCGTGAAAAATTTTAATAAAAATACAGATTTAGCAAAATATTTGTCGTGAAAAATTTTAATAAAAATACAGATTTAGCAAATATATGTCGTCAAAAAGCTTTTATTACAAAAGTATCAGCAAAAAGCTTTCAGTAAAAAACATTTCCGCACAGAAAAAGCTGTTGTTTAAAAGCAATTTGGTGAAAAGCTTTAATCAAAAAGTTTGTTGTAAATGATCTCTTAGTAGAAAAGTGCTAGCGGAACCATAAGTAAACTAAAATTTCACTCCCTTAATAATGTACCCACGTTATATTTAATGCAACACTACATCAGGATAGTAAAATAAATATATACTCTTTCCCAAAACTTACCTTGCATAATAGGCGGCAGCAGCCATAGCCTGGGCCGTTTCAAGACTGACTTCAATTTTTTTACCATGACGATACGGTAACTTTGCCGTGCCATCTTGTTCGAGTACTAAAACATCCTGAAACTCTCCAGTATCTTCCTCAAACACGATAGGCAAGGCGGAAGGTCTATTGTTGCGATTATTATTACTGTTGATGTTGTTGTTGCTGACGTTGTTGTTGTTACCATTCACCGACACTGAGTTTGTGGAAGATTGTGGCAATAAGCCGGCTTGTTGTAAAGTATGCTCAACCGAAAGTGGGGCATCATGTTCATCCAATGTAATATTCATCATTGACTCTGGGTTGGAAGTGGGAGTTGAAGTATGTGTTGGGGCTATGTTATTGTTAGCATTTTGTGTTGGTAGTGGGGGAGCTTGCATGAGATTTTCATCATGAGCACCTAAAGGATGTTCACGCGTGCATTGCTGCTGCTGTTGTTGTTGGGAGTACTGCGGATGCTGTTGTTTAATGGCAACATGTTTGTTTATGCAACTATTGCCTGCTAGTAGTTGTTGCACTTTTTCATTAACTTCATTTGTTGTGGGAGTTTTATTTTGTTGTTGCTGTTGTTGCTTTTGATTTTGTTCCCTTAACTGCTGATACAATATACTTCTATGTTCTCCATCCGCTTTGGTTCTTTGCTGTAAACTATAAGGATACTGGGCTGGTGTTTTATTAGTACCATTAGCCAAGAGAGGTGGTGGCGCTACATAGGCAGGCGGTTGTATATGCAACATTTTATTATTATGGGTTTTCTTGTCCAGATCCTTATCATGAGCTGATTTTTTGTGAGATTTGTGGCTCTTAGAAGTGTTACTTTGATTATTGGCTGCCGCTGCCATTAGTTTTTTCTTCAACAGTCTTGAAGGTGGCAATGGTGGCGGATTATTCATGTTTTGATTTCGTTCTGGTGGAGGTGGTGGAATGGGTGGCCTTTCCTTAATAGTTTCATAAACATGATTTAAAGGCGCCGGCGGTGGTGGAGGCTGGTGGTTGTGGGCATCGAATAGGAAATGTTTTTTGGTATCCACAGGATCCACATACGAATCGGAAAGTTGGTATGTGACTGTTTGCTGTTGTGTAACTGCAGTTTGGGCAGGTGGTGTGGGTAATTTCATTGAATGTATTTGTGCTTTGGGATTTTTATGCAACCAAATTTGTCCGGAGTTTTGTAACTGATTGTGCAAGGGTATTTGAGCTCTACTGAGGGTTTTTTGTTGCAACTGCTGTTGTTGATGTATGGCAAATTGTAAATGTTGTTGTTGCTGCTGTTGCTCATTTTCCTGAAATGTTGTATGATTCAACAAGTTACGCTCGTAAATATCATTCAATAAATTAGTGGCATTTTTTGAAATCTGATTGAATGTTGCTTGTTGTTGATGTTGCTGGTGTAGTTGCTGTTGTTGCTGTTGATGTGGTGGTGTCATCTTTTGATGTTGTATTGGTATACGGGTCTTGTTTGAATGTTGTGGTTGTTGTATCTGACCAATACTTGGACGATTAGAAGCACTATTCATGTTTGCAATTCCAGCTGGCAAATACTGTGTCTGATTTACTCCCTGCTGCTGTTGTTGTTGCTGCTGTTGAGGATGATGTAACGATGATGAAGATGGTTGTTGCTGATGTTGCTGGAAGTTTAATTCATATGTTGACCCTTTAAGTTTTTGTAATTTTTGCTGCTGTTGTTGTTGTGCACTCATTTGTACATTCCTAACGTTTACAACTTGATATGGCTGTTGTAGATGCATTTGTTTTTGCAATTGCTGATGTTGTTGTTGCTGCTGCTGTTGAAATTGTATTCTTCTTTGCTGCTGATATTGTTGATAACTTGGCCTTTGCATTGCCATTGCATTATTCCCTGTATGCATGATGGCTGCTGTAGTTCCGTTGTTTGTTGTGGCGAGAGCGACGGCAGTGGTGGTGGCAGTGTTATTTTCATTTCGTTTCATACCCACATGTCTAGGCCGATGGACAGAAGCCTACAAATACAAAACGGAAATATGTTAAATATTTTGTTAATTATAAATTTTTGGAAGGCAGAGAAGAAGAAAGTTTACCCTCAACACTGCGAGAAATAATATTGTTAAACATTTAAAAATATTTTTCAGTTTTTAATTATAAACTGCATGTTTCCAATTACTTAAAAACTTATTTATATTTCATTCAATAATGCATCAGTTTCTTTCAATTCTTACAAATCTAACTTAAAATTCAAAATAAATTCATCATTCAACAGCATACACTTTAAAAAGATTCTTTACACATGTTGTTCCCAAATTTTATTTTCATGCAACTCCCTTTTAATTGCCAATGTCATGAACATCCCATTATTTCCCTTTCAAATTATTTTCAATTAGCATTAATCACTCAAAAAATTCTTCAAATTCTCTAAAATGCTTAATTTCCAAAAAGATCATTGTAACCAGAATCCCAAAAAAACAAAACACACATTTGAAACATTTTCATTTTATTTGTGTTCAAATTAATTGTTCATGATCTTTACTATCCCCAAAATAAAAATACATTTAAAACTTAAAATAAAAAAATCCCATAAAAATGTTGCAGCTTCATGTAGTTTTATGATTGACTGGAAGTGTCATGGAAATGGAATTAAACATTAAAAAAATAAAAACACGCACGCCTCCAAAAATATTAAAAAAAATACAATACAAATTTTATGATGACTGTCACACAACATCATCATGTTGCACTTGTCATAAAAATGGGCATTTACATGAGGCAGTCAGGCAATCAACCAGCTCATCATTTTGTTGTAAATGTTTTGCGGAACAAGTTTTTGGTTACACAAACTACAAGAGTACACAAATAAATTATGGACTTTTTTAGAAGATTTTAAGATTTCTTTGGAACATTTGCACTATAACCATAGAATTAGTTAAATTTTGGGGTTAATTTACTAGCGATTTTGTCATAAGTGTTTAATTCAGAACATAAAATTTGGTAAACAGTTTTGTTAAAATGTGTATTAATTTGATTTAATTTATAAAATAATAAATCATCTCGTATTTTAGTGCTTAATTTTATGTGATTTGTTGTTAAACTTTGAAAAACATTAAAAGAAAGATTGGCTAATAACTTAATAATATTTCATCGATCTAATTAAATATGTTGTTGAGAGTTTGACATGTTAATTCTAAATTTTACATAAATTTATTTATACTTACAAAAACTGGTGCCCCCGTTACTGAAGATTGCGAGGAATCGTCATCACTGCATCTGCAATTAAGGAAATAATAATTATATAAGTTTTGTTTATAACAAACAATTTTCAGTTTATATATTTTAAAATTTTGAAATAGTTCAACATTTAGGAAATTCAGGTGGATAAAAAGTGTAACACTATACTAGGGATTTTAGGTTGATTTGGTGTAAATGGGGCCATGAATACTACGTTGACCAAAGCTTGAGAAACATTGCAAGACCTTGCTGAAACTGTGAGCTATTAGCCCTAGATAGAAGATCGTGGTCATAAATCAAACCCCTCCCGAAATCCAAATCACAACACTAGCTTACAGACGGCATTCTGTAACATAACAGAATATGTAATATACATTGGATATGTTTCCAGCAGAGGTTTCCGATAAGCAGAAGGCAAATAATTTAATATTAGGTGAAGATTTTAAATATAAGATCTTATTAGACTGTAAGAGAGACATAACCTAATACTCTTCCAGCGGTAATGCTAGCAGTATATGGGTACCACGCCAATCGGAGATAATCGATAATGAAAAAGCGAAAGTACTTTTTATAAAGGGTAGAAATCAAGGGACCCGACGACTGTTGTATTTAATACATGGGAGCGAGAATTCAATACATAAACCACAGGGTGAGCTGATTAGACGATCCGAAATGCAAAAACATCACTTCCGTTTACAACCACGCAGATGGGATAGCTTCTGTTAGGTCGGTTACAGCATCAAGAGATATATTCGGTAGACCGAAGCACGAATCCATTAGATAAGCCGAAGGGTTGTTCTTTCTCACGGAGAACACACTGTGGTAAATCTGATATGAACAGATATTTGCTTAAGGAAGGAAAGGGTCACTTGTATAAGATACCTTTCATCCATCAACATTCAACCCAGTACATTTATTCGACACACTCATAGAGAGCAAAATCCAATACACTCACTCTAGATATAAGGGTATGTTCATCCCATCCCATACATCCATCATGTATCATATACACATAACATCAACTCATTTCCAACGCTTAATCCCACAGTCACTCCTCTGTGGGGTATCAGTTATATCACTTTAGGCAATTGCACTAAAATAATCTAAATTTATAGACTTTACCGACATTAGCCTTTTAACCAGCATACTCTTCTCGTGAATTTGGGTTTAAACCACAGCCGTGCACGTGGTGGCATTTTCAATAGCCTGAAGGGACCTTTCCAATAACCTGGACAAGATTGGACGAAACTCTGCCTTGCGGGCTACCTGTTTTCTTGATAGATTGCTATACACAACAAGCCTGATAGGAGGATTGAAAATTATACTGAATTTTATTTTATTTCATAATTTTCTCCATTCACTTTGGTTCTTTGCTGGAAACCATAATAGCACTGGGCTATTGTTTAATGTATCCCCTATAAGGCTTGCGAATAGAAATTTGACTATTTTCCAATTGAAACTGAAATGTCTCTTTTATATATCATTGACCTAGGTAGGTAGGTAGGTTGATAGGAGGATGTATACTACATCAAATCCGAAGAAATACACCTAGGCCACTATCGGGCCTGTTGTGCGCTCCAATTCAAGAAAAAAAAAAAAAAAAAAAAAAAAAAAAAAAAAATTGTTCACTGAATGTATTATTTTTCCATGTTCAGAAACTCAGTTTCCTGGACGTAATTCCTAAGAATCTTCCAATCGGTGTTGGTTAAGAATGTTATTTCTGGAATAACATCACTTCCAAGATACTTGGATCTAACTTCGACGAATGCCTGACAATGGCAAAGAAAGTGCTCCAGAGTTTCACTGTCCTCTCCACATGCTCTACATTCGTCTGAATTCGCACGTCCAATTTTGTATAGATGTGCTCGTAATCCTGTGTGTCCACTGAGAATACGTACCATCATACTAACCTCAGACTTGCTCATTTTGAGAAGATTTCTCGTCTTGCTCTCATCAGGGTCACCCCATAGAATCTTTGTGGTTCTACCCACCGTTTCATTATTCCAAGAGGCCTTATGGGATTCTCTCATCCATATTTTTAATTCAGCTTTTGTTGCGTCGAATGGTTTTGCGTTTGTCAGGTTAACTACATCGAGCTCCCTTCCCTTTAAAGCTATTACATTCGCCCTTTCGTTGCCGGCTACTCCCGAGTGGCCTGGTACCCATATGATGTGAACCTTACCTCTGGGAGAGTATTCAGTTAAAGCTTTCTTACAATCCAATACGGTCTTAGATTTAATTCTATCACCTGATATCGCACAAATTGCCTTCTGGCTGTCGGTAAATATATTAAGCCCTGTGGGCGCCATATTTATTCTAATCCAATTTACACATTCCGTTATTGCTCGTACTTCTGCCTGGAAGCTTGTGTTATGATTAGGTAAACGGTGGTATATTTCTGTTTCTGGGTCTTCAATATAGAACCCCAGACCCACTTTGTCCCCTAATTTAGAGCCATCCGTGTAGCAACGGATTCCTACTGGTATTTGCTCTAATGTTCCGCTTGACCAAGACATTCTATCTGGGATTAGCGTTTCAAAGTTTCCGACATATTCAGTGTCTGGTATGCGATCAGGCACGTCCGATGAATGTGTATAACCTTCCAATGTGTCCAGTATACATTGATGACGTGTCCTATAACCGTTTTTGGCCAGTTCGCCTAAAGTAAAGAGCCGTTCGGCTGTAAGCGCCGCCTCATATCTTATATATGTTTCAATGGGTGGAATATCTAGCAACGTTTCCAGAGCCTTGGTTGAAGTAGTACACATGGCACCACTTATACCCAAGCAGCATGTACGCTGAACTCCCTGTAGTAGTTTGATATTACACTTTTTGTCCAAAGCAGTCCACCAGATTATTGAAGCATAAGCTAGAATTGGTCTAATTACACTTTTATAAAGCCAATTTGTCATAGTAGGACTAAGACCCCATTTCATGCCTATGGTTCTCCTACATATCGCCCAGCACCGATGTGCCTTGTTGATCCTATCCTCTATGTGGTGTCTCCATTTTAATTTCCGGTCAAGTATTACACCTAAGTACTTAACTTTGTCTGTCACCGGTATCTTCTTGCCCAAGAAGCAAGGTTCAGTATATGTAGAAATTTTTGTCTTTCTTGTGAAAAGACAGATTTCCGTCTTCGCCGGGTTAACATTGAGGCCTCTCGGTTGAGCCCAGCTCAAGGCCGTATTCAGAGCCTCCTCAGCTCTTCTACACAAGTAATTTGGATCCTTTCCCTTTAAAAGTATTACGACATCGTCTGCATAGCAGACAGGTCTAAGTCCTTTCTCGGTTAGGGTCCTTAGGAGGCTATTAATCGTGGTGACCCAGAGTAAAGGTGACAAAATGCCACCCTGTGGTATACCGCGAAATACCTTTTTCCTGATAGTTATATCGTACATCTCGCAGCTTATCCATCTGTTCCTTAGCATGTAGTTGATCCAGTTACGGAGCACCCGGTCAACATAAAACTGGTCTAGGGATTGGATAAGGGTATCAGTGTGCACGTTATTGAAAGCGCCTTCGATGTCAATGCATACTGCCAGTGTATACAGTTTGCTATCGAAAGATTCACTTATGTAGTGGACAACTTCATTTAAAGCGGTCTCCACCGATCGTCCCTTTACATAAGCATGCTGCTTATATTTAAGGTCATTGTATGGTATGCTGCTTTTAACCATGCTATCGACTATCCGTTCCAAGGTTTTAAGTAGGAAGGACGTAAGACTTATCGGTCGATAGGACTTAGGTGTCGCATAGCTAGGTTTCCCTGGTTTGGGTATAAATATTACCCTTGCATCCTGCCATTTAACTGGGGTATATGCCAATTTTAAGCATGCAGTGAATATCTGTGACAGATGTACGGAAACCAGTCCCGCCTCCATCTGCAAAAGTGCCGGGAAAATTCCATCCGGCCCTGCAGCTTTATAGGGAGCAAAGCTCTTGATTGCCCCTTTAACCATGTCAGTTGTAATAACTATTTCCGTGTTACCCTCCCCTTCCTCCAATATCGGTTCATCTATGTTATTCGATATACCGGGTGGGAAATGAGAATCCATTAGGAGTTTCATTGTCTCCTCCATATCCTCAAGCCTCCTGCCCGTGTCATCGATCATAGATTCCGGTTGGACATGAGTTTTGGATAGGAATTTTTTTATCTTCGATACCTCATTTACGCTATCTACCTGTTCACAGAAAAGTTTCCAGGAGTCTCGTTTGGCTCTTCGAACGATTTTCTTATATTCACCAAGTTTATTACGATACTCATCCCAGTATACTGCGGTCTTTTTACGCCGTGCCCGGTTAAATAGTTTGCGAAGAGTCTTCCCAAGGTTCCGGATCTCCCCAGTTACCCAGGGTTTTTCCTGGGCAGATCTCCGCTCTCGCAGAGGGCAGCTGTCCTCGAACGATTCAACCAGGGCACTTGTGAACGTTTCCACTTTGGCATCTATATCCTCTTTATTTCGACATTGAAAAGTGTCCTGACCTAAACGGTTCTTTAGTAAGGCCCCGAACATTGTCCAATTAGTTTTAGACTTATTCCGAAACTTTATCGGCTTTGGTGGTGGCCTTAGTATTTTGAATCTTATGTACCGATGATCAGAAAAGGAGTGCTCGTCCGAAACTCTCCAATCCTGAATTTCGTTTATAAGCTCTTCTGAACATATAGTTATATCTAATACTTCTTCTCTGATTCTATTGACGAAGGTAGCTTTATTACCTAAGTTCAATGTTATCAAGTCTTTAGTATTAAAGAAATCCATGAGGGCTTGTCCCCTGCGATTGGTGTTTGTACTACCCCAAGCTACATGATGCGAGTTGGCATCACAACCTATTACAATTTTCTTATTTTTCCTTTGTGCCTCTTCAACCAGTTTCATCAGATCCGACGTTGGTGGTAGGGTCGGAGAATCGAAAGGCAGGTAAATAGATGCAAGGAATATGTTGCCTCGACCTTGCTTCAGCACCGTTGCATCCGATGTTGATAATCCTGTTGAGAGGAGAAAACATAAGTTCTTGTGACATAAGATACATGTTCT